GGAGAAGACCTTGATGGTATTTAAATAGCTGCTAGTATTAATAGCAATAGCTGGTAGATAATGCGGAGACTTGGGAGCTCTAGGAAGTGATGCAGGTTTGGGAACAGCTCAGGCTGTCTTCTCTTTGTCTTTGTAAACCTTGTTTCCTGTCACTTCAGGCTGCATTTCCTTTCAAGGAGGTGCTGAGATACCAAACAAAACATGACTATCTAGGTGAAAGGAAACCTGCCTCGGTACAAAGTATGCCTTGGGATGGAAAGTTGCAGTCGTAGCTCTGATGTGCTCTTTTGGATTTTCTAGTGGTAATGAGAGGCCAAGGAATCACCATTACCTGAGATAAATGCAATCTGCTTCTGCCTTGGCAGTCTAAGCTGCCTTCCACTTGGTACCTCTCTACCTGGGAGGGTTATCATCCCATTTTAGACTTCTCTGGAAAGTGTGAGGGGAAAAGGGTGAGAATCCAGCAAGGCTTCCAGGGGCTCCTCTAACCCACTGACCAGAATAATAAAGATATCTCTAAGGATGGATGGATGGATGGATGGATGGATGGATGGATGGATGGATGGATGGATATTTGTGCTAAAACAGTTAGACTTCTACTTTGTACTGAGGAAAAATATCAAAGGTTTCTTCTTGGTTTTGTCATACAGAACAAGAAGCAGATTAGCAGATTAGCAAATAGGAGAAACAGGCTTTACTCAATGCGAATTGACTGGAAAATACTACCCTAGGTAAAACTGGTGACTCTTCAAACTGAGAAACCTTCCTATGGTTGTTTTTATGGCGGTTTTCATAGGGAGATTCAAGCCAACCTTCACACATGAAGAGCATAAAATGAAAGAAAGTGATAGAGATAGCAACATGATCTAATGGAAGGTTTCCCTGCCCATGGCAAAGGGGTTGGAACTAGATGATCTTTAAGGTCCCTTCCAACCCAAACCATTCTATGATTCTATGTTTCTACGAGATACGAGATTAACATATTAGAGCATTGAAAGTTACAGAAGGATGAGAGAATTTTAAGTTCAGACACAAAAGCCCAAGACTAACAGAGAAAAAGGTGACACAAACAAGGAAATAGAGGTGGATGAATCCTCAGTTAAGAGTGTTGCTATAACTAGAAAACAGTGTGACAAGAGGTAATCAAAACATACTGAAAATATGATGGGTTAATTTGACACAATCTTCAGATACTGACTTTTGCCAACATTGCATGCTATGTGAGAGCGTGGAATTAACAAACGCTACTGTATGAGGGTTAGGAAAAGAAATATTTTTTGAAAGCAAAATGGAAAATCTTTTTCACGTTCATTAGATTTGGTAATATAATACTAACAAGAACACTGCACTGAGCTGTTATCTGGTTTGCTGTCTGATTCGCTCTCCAGGTTACCACTTAAATCAATAGCTTTCAGATCGATTTTTCCAGCACACTGTATTCCAGTAAAAAGAAAAATGCTCTGAGATGAGTCAGCTATTTGCTCTGTCTGTAGGGACTCTGATGCATTTTGGTTTAGGAAAATAAAAGCAGGAGCCAAAGTACACACAGATATATAATAAGAAGAACCTGCCTGTTGCACCATAACATGACACTGGATCAGCAGACACACGGATTTGCTACAGCTTGCTGCAGCAACTACAGACCCGCCTCCAGCTAGAGCAAGCCATTGTAGGATGGAACCAAAGTATTTGCAGGCAATGCTAGACAAATAATAATAAATAATACTGTCTTTCAGTTTATGTGAGCGCTACGGCAGAGGGGAAAAATATGCCCACATTTAACTAAGAAGGTGATCTCCATATATTTACCATGACATTTAGACCAACAACCATACTCTGTTTTCATTTATTTCAGATATTTTAGCATATTTGCATATTCCATGTAACATATACTATAGTCCTGGTACTGTAACTGGTCATCACTATTATCTGATGTTGCTTCCACTCATTTTAACCATGCTAACGATTTCCGATTTTGTTTGTAATCACAACATGCAGCCTCATTTACTCTTGATTTCTCTCTTGCTTAGCGATGAATTCATGAAAACAGCTGCTCTTCTCTCACAGAGTGTTGTAGTTATTTCAAGGAACTTGCAAGAAGTCCTGCACATGGGCTGGGGCAATCCCAAGCACAAATACAGGCTGAGTGGAGAATGGATTGAGAGCAGCCCTGAGGAGAAGGACTTGGGGTGTTGGTTGATGAGAAGCTCAATAGGAGATGGCAATGTGCACTTGCAGCCCAGAAAGCCAACCGTATGCTGGGCTGCATCCAAAGAAGCGTGGCCAGCAGCTCGAGGGAGGTGATTCTGCCCCTCTACTCTGCTCTTGTGAGACCCCACCTGGAATACTGCATTCAGCTCAGGGGCCCCCAACATAAGAAAGACATGGAGCTGCTGGAGAGAGTCCAGAGGAGGGCCTACAATAAAGCTGGAGAGGGACTTTTTACAAGGGCATGTAGTGATAGGACAAGGGGAAATGGCTTTCATGAACGAGGGTAGATTTAGATTAGATCTAAGGAAGAAATTCTTCACTCTGAGGATGATGAAGCACTGATATAGGTTGCCCAGAGAAGTTGTGGATGCCCCATCCCTGGAAGTGTTCAAGGCCAGGTTGGATGAGTCTTTGAGCAACCTGATCTAGGGGAAAGTGTCTCTGCCCATGGCCAATGGGTTGTAACTAGATGATCTTTAAGGTCCCTTCCAATCCAAACCATTCTATGATTCTATAAGTGCAGCAAAAATGTCTTCAGTTCAAAGAAGAAATAATAATCTCAAGAGCTACTTAAAGAGGCAGGCTGAAGCAGGACTGTCCCCATGGTTTCTCTTGACTACCTCTCTGCTGCAGTCATAGAGCAAACCTTGTGCCACCCCTTGTCTCTCCCACAGCTCTGCACACGTGGATGCTGTCTCAGATTCCAGGCTCTGCACTCACCCTCGAACTTTTTTTTTTTCTGAGAACTTTGAATTAACTGCAGTTAAAAACTACTAAAATGCCAGAGAAACATAATAAATGAAAATGTTAGTGCTTGTCTACTACAAGTTCTTTTTCATGGAGATTTATGATCTCCATGTTTGAATGTAAGGTACCAGCTTACAATCTATCCCACCTTCCATCAATAACAGTCCCAGAGGGTACGGAGCAGCCAAAGGAGATGTAAAGGAGAGAGGCTTAGCATGCAGAATCTCATTGTTTACGGTGTATTGAAGACTGTGTATTGAATATATTGTGAATATATTGAGGGGGAAACAGCACACAGGAAATAAACATATGCAAAACTGGGGGACTAGTGTGTAATTATGAAGCCTGTTATGCTGAAAATACTGCTGAATATTTCTATCATCTTCAACTTCTAAAAAACTAGAATAATTGCAAAAAATCTGTATTTCTCAGTAACGCTTTCATAGCACTGTGTATTTCATATTGCTACGCATTTGCATCTTAGTCTAAAAAAAAAATTTATATTTACACAACAATGAAGAGGAAGGAACAATGAATTTTCTATTTCAAGTCATTTTTAAACAAAAAGGATAGTATTTATGGCAGCTACAGTATGGTAAATCTGGAGCGATTCCGCCTGTTTACAGGAAGGGTTATCAATTTCCAGGGTGTTGAGGTATCGAAGAGAGGCATTTTATGCTTTGCTTTGTTCCATTTACAAGATATTTCAGGTTAGTTGTGATCTACCTTGATTCACTTACTTTCCTATTGTTCCCTGGGAATTAAGTTGATGTAGAAGCAAACTGTGGCAGGTACTTCCCCAGGTCCCAGCAGGTTATTAAAGGTAATGCTGAGTAGACTGAAGTCCTTGAGAGGAGATACAAGGACCCATTTCACAGAGTACTTCATCTGCACAGTGTTTCGTTTAGGCTCGTATAGGAAAACATTACAGCAGTGAGATCAACAGGTATTATTGCTGCTCAAGCAAAGCTTCTTCCTTACGCAGATTGTTATAATTAACTGTAATAATAATATTTCTAATATCCAAGACACAAACTTCAGCCCATTTTGACAAACAGATAGTAATTCTTCTGTGGCACCTGAGTGATGTTTTAACCATTGGCAAGTCAAGTACTAGAGAAATGAAGCTACGGAATGAGATACATAGAACTGGCTGATACGGTAAATTACCTAACGACAACGGCAGTATTTCCCACAACAGATCAGATATCTCAGCTTTTTCGCCAGGTAATAAACAGTGTCAAGCAGAAGGAATGGAAACTGAGGCTGTTCATTATCTATCACGAGACACCTGGCAGGATAGCCATTGGCCCGCGGTCTGAAAACAATCCTGCACGGACACGTGTCAGGCTGAAGTGCTGGTGAATCGCCAGGGATCTTGCTTCCCTGCAAGCATGGTCAAGTCAAACTCTGTTCAGAGTCATTTGAGAAATAAGGCCTAAATGTAGCTGTTCTGATCCCAGATAATATTCTTTCTGCTTTTACGTTCATATCTGAAAAGCATGTAAGCCCTTTAAATATTTACTGAGATTTCTCATTTCCCCTTGTCTTCACAAGAAAGACTTCACACTTCCTATGATCAGATAACAAGCCCACAACTTTGGCTCTTCTCCTTTTCACAGCTGCCTGGAAAGGGAGGCAGAACATACCGGAGTGGTTTAAATAAGAACCAGAGAGCTGTGTGGAGCCAGCACTGCTAAAAAGTATGTATTCTAGGAGTTCTCCTCCATGTTTGGGAGGGAATTACAAATGAAAGTATTGAGAGTTTCTGAGAAAAGAAGCTTTTTTAACAAAAAAATAAAATTTCCTACTGCTGCAAGGTTCTGTGGTGAGGATCGATAGATGGTCAGTATCAGGCAGACAGTCAATACCAGATGGTCACTTCCAAGAGTGAAAAGCGCGGGGACTATGCATGAACCTTCCACAGCCGTGCTGCTCATGGGCAGAGCCGCTGCTGTCGCCCCGGCATCGCCTTGGCGAGGGAAGGCACGGAGCCACGGAGCCACGGCACGCGGGGAGCAGGGACGGGACCTGCACAGTACCTTTGAGGGCAGGCGGGGTGAAGACGCTCTGCTTCCTTTGCTTGGGAGAGGCACTCTGGGACTGGCGAGGGACAAAACACAGAGAGAGGCTGTAAGAGACGGGCACCGGGAGAGTTTTCTGTCCATGGCAGCTCCGGGTCTTGCCTCACAGCTGCTTTCTGAGGGCACACACACCAATCTGAGAAGTTTCTAAGAAAATTATACCGTATAAATCTGATGTCAGTTCCCAGGCTTTCATGAACACAGGGAAAACTAAGATTAGAGAGATGCACAAAATATGTGGTTAATGGACAACCTTTATGGCTCCCAGGCAAACCAGACCCAATAATACTGAAAATTACCCTTCACTCTAAAAAATATATATGGTTAAGTGTAAAATTAAGATAACCTGTGCTTTTAACAGTCTATGTAACTGATTTTCATAAGACAAATAAATGTTTACGTATATTAAGAGTTGCAAGATTTACATTACTCAATATTTCAGCTAAATACACAGTAATGAATGATTATACATATAGGTAAGGTAGTACTGAAATTATTAATATATAAATTTTTGCATAAATAAATGGAAGATCTTTCACCCTGCACTTTTTCCATGTGTCTATTACTCCTAAAATCATAATTTCAGCAACCAATTGCTCAGTCTTTAACTGGGCCTGATTTAAGTGATATATTTAGACACAGTCAAACTTTTTATGGCCCCAAATTCACATCTATGCACAAAATATAAATTATTCCAAAACATGGGTAGTAAAATTGCACAGAGTAACAGTAGTATAATTATACCAATGTATAATTTGCAAAACCTAACTAGAATACATTCCAGTGCTAAAGCAGAGCAACTTTTGCAAAATGAAAGCAGTTAAATCAGTGTCCATATGACGCCAACATGAAATATGTCCATATACAAAGGATAACAAAACTACATAAGGTCACATATATAGCTAGCTTTTGAAGACATAAGAACCATCTCACTTGCCTAAGAAAAAGGTTTAAAAAGAGTTGCATGTAGGCAAGCTTTATTTTTTCTCATCTAATCAAT